ATACCGATAAGTGATTAATAAAAGTCAAAAGACCAAAGAGGTCACCTTAATACCAAAAAAAAAAAAAAAAATTACTACATTGTCTAATATCGGTTTTAGGTGTATATAAGTATTGATAATTTTTAATTTTAAATAAATTTTTTATCATTCTTCTAAAAATATATCTACCAAATTTAATATTAAAAAGGCAACTGAATAAGAAATTAAAAACAAAATGGCTGCATTAAAAGAAGAAATATGGCTTAATCAGCAGCAAATCAAAGATTTAAATGATGAACTAAAGAAGCATCAACTGAATAAATTTAATAAAAAGTGGACACAGATTAAAGCCAAGTTAAATACAAGGCTTCTATATCTTAAAATGCTAAAGCAAAATACTGATACTCTTAAATAAGAATAAGAGTAATAAAAATAGTGAGAGGAAGAATTTTTTTAAATAATTTTTGCATATATATTTTAGTTTGGCATATAGTTAGCAGTATTTGCAAATATATTTTTTTTAAAATTAATATATTATATATATATATTTTTAAAACTATTTTTTTTCTTTGATATTTTAAAGTATAATTATTTGAAAACTTATGTATACTCTGCTGAATTAATAGCTTAAATAAAAAATAGTATTAAATATTTTTTTACTGCTGAAATTTTAAATACTGCAAATAAATAAAATATATAAAATATTCTAAGATTAGTAGCAAAGTATTTCAGCATTATATGTTTCAATAATATAGGTCAAAATTTGAATTTCTACTAAGTTTTATAGTGAAAGTTTCAAATAATTAGGCATTAATTTATATAGTTTCAAGTATCTTTTAAAAAAACAGAGCTACTAAAAATAAATAAAAAAGAATATATAGAAGGCTTTATTAATATTGTAGTACTCAATAATTAAAAATAAAAAAAGTGCTATTTTGTTTAGAAAAATTCATAAGGTAATAGGTAGTTCAATTTTGAGGTAATTTGATTATTTTTAATATTGCAGTTTTACAAACTCTAATTTGAAGTCTTACAACCCTTAATAAAGCTTTTTTTATTATTTATTTGCAGTACTTTTTTTTAAAAAAGTACTTTAAACTATATAAGTAATTTAAAATTAGATAGATTTAAACAGCTAGCTGTATAATAAATATTATTCTAGAGCTATATTAATAAATTTTAAGTATTTAAGGTCTTACAAGATAAATTAATTATTTTTATATGTATTATGTAAATTTAAAAATAATGAGCCTGCTCTGCTTTTAATTTTTTAATTTAAAAATTTTATACATTCATATACTAAAAACAGATTATAGTTCTTCTGAGCTATTTGGATTGGAAGTCTGAGATTAAAGCAGAGATATACTAAAAGTACTAGGAATATGTTATAAAGTCAGTATCAGAATCTAAATAAACTTATTTTAAAAATATTAAAAAAAATTTTATAATTTTTTTAATTTTTAAAAAAATCTGCTCAAAAGTATTTATATAATAATATAAAAATTTTTTTTGAAAATTTACTAAACTAGTTGTGAAAAACAACTAATTAATTTTATAGTCTAAAGTTATAATATATTAATAAATTTTTGATAAAATTAAAATAAAAGCTACTATTTAACTTTTAAATGCTTGTTTATAAGAAAAAAAAAACTATTGCTACTCTAGTACCAGCAGCTGGAGTATTTCTATGAATTAAAAAATTAGCTTTTAAAAACAAAACCTCATCTTTAATTAATTTAATTACTATTTTTATCTGTGGAAGTACTAGCCAGCCTCTTTTCCAATTACCTACTGATACTACTATGGACAAATCATTGTCATTTTTGTTATAATGATAATTTATTGTTACATTATAATTTAAAGCCATCATAGAAAAAACTTTAAAAAGTTTTTTTACCTTATTAAATATATATTAAA